TTTCCTTTTGGTGGATATTGTTTGGATTCGACCAAGGCTTGGAATATGCAGAGATGCTCGTATATATTCCAGGCTACTGTTTCTCCTTGAGGTATAATCCAAAGATCTATGATTCAAAGTGTGAGAGGTTCAGTTTGATACATGTGTGTTAAACTGTTACACCAATGAATGTTTAGCAGTTACACACCTCGGGGTGTAGATGCATGGAGCATGTTTAGCATTGGAAAATACCACCATCGCGAAAATCAATCTAACATTCTGTCAACGGGACTGTAACTAGATCTAATTTGACAACGAGGTCTAGATGTTTTGTTTTTTGTTTTGTTTATTTTGTCCTAAGCTAAAGAGGTCTAGATGTGTTGCTAAGTGGATAGATGATAAATGAATACTTTTAGTAGATAGTTTTCAAGTGAACTGGGCTAGATGTGAGGACTGGCAGGTTCCATAGGAAGCACATCTTTTAATATAATCTATTATCTTTCATCTACATCTACATTTATATTATATTTTCTTTGCAATACTCAACGTATATTTACACATATCGACATCTGAAAATCCATAATCATTTATACTTATTGTCCGACAATACAAAGTCGATAAGATATTAACGGTTGAGGGAAGGCTGGAATCCTTGGCACAAAGATCTCAGGTGGTGTTATGAATCGACTCATTAGCAGATTTTTGAAGCTGTTAAGCTGCAGAGGTCGAGCCGGTTTCTGTGAAGACAAATTATCAATGGTGCGAAGGTATGAATTGATTTCGAAGAGACGAGCAGAGTAATGGAAGTCCGGATTATCAAAGGTTACAAATTCATGACAAATTATCAAATTATTGAATAGCGAATTCCAAATAAGCCAATCCTCAAAAAAAAGCTAAATTGCAAAATTGTTAGAGCTAGAGAACAAATCCAAATGTCCGGCCTGACCAAATCTAAATCTCATCTACTCAGCCCTAACCGGACTAGGAAAATAACCCCTGCACCACCACATCCAAATTATATCCAACAAATTCACAACAGGTGGTATCAGCGAATGCACCCACTCTATGAATGGTCCGAATGTTAAACTGAGATACTTTTGTATACAGTCGTCGGGGAAGGACTAGCCTTCGCCGAGTTAAGCTCCATTCCTGCTAGGCCTGTGTCTGTCACGAATAGAAATCCATCCATCCGTCTACCTCACATTAGACTTGGAGATTAAGCAGGAGCTATAGTAGAGGAAGGAAAGGGATTCAACAATGAGGCGGCCTCAATGGGTGACCGAATAAGAAAAAAGGCCCCTGCATGTGATGAAGACATGCTTCTTTTTACGGGCTGTGCCCCGTTCGATTAGGCTGGGCTATCTTTTAGGCCCAGCCTCGTTCAAGGACTTTGGTCACGTGATCTAACATGGGGTCGTTTCTCACGACTCGAATCACTCAGTTAATTATGCTGAGGCTGGGAAAAAGATCACTCAGTAGCGAAGGATTACGTGTCAGGAATCAAGATCACTGGTAGCTGCATAGGGCATATTTAATGTAACAGATTTCCTGTAGTTAATCTCTATGGAAAAATATTAATTTTTTGTGGTACTGTTTACGTGCGGTGTCTGTAATCCTCTTTGCTCTTAACACTTGGACTGGAGAAAAAGGCCGAATCAGATATTTGGAGGATGTCAAGGGCTCGGCGCATGGTGGCCGAGTCTGAGGTCTAAATTGCGCTTCGGCGCGTCAAATTCGGGTTCTCTGGACGTTTCGGCTTGACGTTTCCAACACATGAGGGAATTCCGAGGTGGTCCGGTCACTCAGGTGGGGCAAGATTGATTTATTTAATTGTAGTTAACCTGATCTAGTCCAGCCATCGTCGCGCAGTCTTTGCTTCATATATAAGCTGCGTATACAGCTGTATGGTCATGATATAGAATTAGAGCCAAAGTATGTGATGGATGACACAATATACAGTTAGACCGCTCACACCTTGGACAGTACAATTGCAAGTACCACTGCGAAGATGTGGTAGCTTTTCCTTCACCATAAGTCAGTCCTCATCCGTGAATACTCACTCAGGGAAACGTCTGAAAACCCCCAGAATTATCCAGACATGCCTCCATCATCTATTGAATTTTCTCCGCGCGAAATGTGGTCTGAAGCGTCTTCTTCCCCGGTGGAGTAGGTGCCGAGGCTTTTCAAACAACACTGGAGAGCTCTACGGGGTAGTAGACCGGGAAGCCTTCAATCGTGAGCTTGTGTTAATAGCATCAGCCGCACTCTGGCGATCGGAATTTTGGCGCGTACAAAGCTCAATCTTTAAAACCTCTTGCCAAAATTCAACATTTCGCAGCCGTCAGATGCACTAGGGTAATAATCACTGGGATTGGAGAGCCTTCCCGGTGGTTCCATGATGAGCAGGCGAATAACAGAGCAGTGCATGAAAGGTGTCTCTGGGTAATACCACCAGATAGATGGTGCTCGAATATTCCGACATACTGTCTTTGGAAAACAAGGCGAGAGACTAGCAACCTCGGATGTGTATATAACAAGCTTTTTCCGCCTCCTAGATTAATATATATTTTTGATAAACAGCATATTGGCAACTTAGATTGATTTATCATTAATCATCCTGCCTAAGCTCTTATACTTTCAACAAAGAGGCTGAGGCTTCCGAAGGCAGAGGCCCTGACTATTGCCTCCTCATGTTCGGGCGGTATTGCAGGATAATTTGCTAAGATTCAGGCCAGTGCTGTGGAGCATGTAGGCTAAGAGATTGAACTTATAGTGGGCTTATGGCTAGTGCCGAGCATGTTGAGCCGAGCGGCCTGGTTGCGAGGACGTGAAGTGGCAGTTGTCGCTACTGGGGCAGGCACGCAGTGTAGCGGGTCTCGTCGTGTGGGCACTAGCTGGGGGCGGCAGCCGCTGTCTCCACATGCCTGCTGGCGCGGCGTTGAGTGGAGTGACGGCCGTGTCTACACCGTCTCCGTACCGGGAGGGAGGGCTAGTCACCGAGGGCCTGCCCTCGCTAGCCCGTTACTAGCCGCCACCCCGGACCCAGCCGATTGGCGGTCGCTAGCAGAGATTCTGCCCCCTGCTCCTAGGTATATGATTGGCACTGGCGGCCACGTGCCCCAATGATTCAAGTCTGTGACGGCGCCCCTGCACACCTCATTAACGCGGGCGCAGGTCAGCTGGCCTGTGTATTGGCGCCCCTTGGCTGTTGCTGCTTGCGAGTGCCACTTTGCAGGCACAGTCGCAGGCTACGCGGTGCAGGGACGACACCGACCTATCTTGAAGGATAATGGGATATTGCGGACCATGCCGGGCTGGCCCGATCCGTCGGACTGGCGCCGGTGGGCTATGGTGGGTGATCTCGTGGACTCCCTCACACCGCTTGGTGATCCTCTGCATTGCGTCAGAGAGGGCACTTGACTCGCGCGCGCTTGGCGGCAAATGTGCGTTGCTCGTCCACCACAGCGTCGAAAGCGGTAAGCCGGATAGATGGCGGCGTACGGCCGGGGATGCGTTTGTGAAGTTAGGTGGTGGGTAAGTGACGCCCATCGTGTTCCTGGTGGAGACTGAGTGAGAGTGGGGCCGGGGCGGTCGGGGTCATGCAGCGGAAAAATCCCAAATATGCCTCGCGCCAATCTAGGTGAGCTGAGCCCGGACGATTCCAGCAGGGCGGAAGAGCAAAAGAAACTTTCTCCGCAGCATCAAGACCGGGCCCGAAGTAGTGGAAGGGAGGGCCCAGATGGCGAGCTCATGCAGTACTGCGACGCCCCTCGACGCGGCATGGCTCAGGGGGAACGGGGGCCCAAGATGCGACAGTGCGAATGCAAGCTCCGGGATAGAGCTATGCAGCAGGCAGCAGATGTTGTAGAGAGAAGAGTTGACGAAATGAACATTTATCGATAATGTTTGGCGGGAGACGTCCTTGGGCAACGACGAGAAGTAGCCCTGTAGTACCAGGCATCTAAGCCAGCTCATCATGGTCGGCACCAACTGCTGAGCCGACCCGTAGGATCCGAGCTGCCCGCGTACGTGACGTGCGAGGCCAGAAAGCAGATAGGCAGGGGACGGAGAGGACGCTGGTCGCCCGGCCTCTCTCTGTGCGCATGGCAGTGGAATTCAGATGCGCGCCGGCGGATAGGCACAGGACCGTGAGAGCTCGTCCTCGGAAGCAACTGGCTCGCCGCACAGCTCACTATCTTGTTGCTTCAGCGCTCGTAGACTTCAACCGAACTTCCTGCATTTCCTGCTGCTCGGCCAGTCGCCACGACATTCTCTTCTGCCTGCAAGCTTGTGCGCTAGCGCTGAGTCTTCTCATGTGCCCTGGTCCGGCCTTCCAAGAAGAGTTTCCCGCATCCAGACGTGCGCAGCTTGAGTCGGAAAATCCCCTGTCCGGAGCTGGCAGAGCCAGTACGGCCGTCGATCGCTCTGCCCTGTCCGTCCAAGTGATTTCGTAGCTGTACGCGCGTCCTGAACACACACCACAAGCGCTCAAACTCCCAGAGTCTTGTACCGACATGATGAGATCAGCGTCTATTACCTTTCGCCAGAGCTCATAGACCTAGAGCATAACACAAGCGACGGTTATGCGGGATTCAAGATTGTGACTTTCTTTCCTTGCCGATACAGCTGTCATGAATCACGGTTGAACAGTTGTGCCTTTGGCATGTATATGATTTGAGACTGGCATGTGTCTAAATACCCACTTATTTACATTCACTTAATTGGGCTATATTATCCCGTTGTTCCATATTACCAAAGCCATTGTGCACGCCATCAACCTGACCTCATCTGCCCCGAGCCCCATGCCACCCACCATCCAGTAACAAATGCCATGAGCCCTCGAGTCCAACGCCATACAATTCGCCCGCAGCCTCCCTGCCCCCAACTCATGAGCCCAAGATATCTAGCAAAATTCTATTTCCAAGATGACCACATTTCCCTGCAAAGGTGCACTTCAAATACCTCCCTCTCACTCCAGTAGTTGCAGATATGTGAATTTGACGGCTGCTTCAGGCCTGACTTTAACTGATAATAGGTGGTCCCCTCACACGCATAGCCCCAGAGGCACGTTTGTAGGTCATTGGCTTTTCGAGACCCATGGCATCATTATCAGGCTCCATAACATGTGCATCTGGCGTCGGCGGACGCTGACCGTGGAAGAGACGGAGATGGTTTGATGGTAGGGGACCAGGAAGGTTACGGTCGTGGGGCCTTTTTCGCAGTGAGTTTGAAGCATATAGACTGGTATCCAGCGGCGATAAATTGATAGACGCCATGGGTGGATGACAAAGAGCCGGAGGAGCGAGGTGATTACTAGAGCTAGTAGGATTGAGTAACCGACGTTCGAGACTAGGCAAGTTTGTTATGCCGTGAGAATTGAGGGACGAGTATAAGGAGGTATTGGCAGGGGGTGGTAGGAGTGTTGGCGGACTTGGTGGTGATGAGTGAGCTAGTGCCGACGAAGGCCTAAAATCGGGGGTGTAGTCACGTGAGTCGCGTGGCTGGCGTAGAGACCTGGATGAGAGAGAATAAGAAGAGCGATCTTGATGGGTGTAGCTCGGGGCTGGAGACGGATGGAAGGCGGATGTGTGTGTCGATGTGGTCTGGAGGGGGGCCAAAGATCGATCGAGATACGAGGGACGCGGGGGCGGCGGCTGCGGCTGCGACGGTGCGACAGTGAAGGGGTCGGGGCGAGTTGGGGTCTGAGCAGAGTCTGGTATACTGCCGCTGAGTGAACGTGAGCGGGTCCGATGCCGGAAGATTTCCTTTTCGTCGCGACATGGTAGATATTCCTCATGAGGCGTCTGGTCGTCTGGTTTGTGATCGCGCCTACGCATACGCACATCACGCCGGATGCGCACGCGACAGCCTTGCTCTGCGACAATGCGACTGAGGTGCGTGCTCTCTGTAAGGCCGGGAAACTTCTTGGCGCTATACACGGTGAAGGGGGCGGATTTTACCTCCAGGCGCCAGTCGAACGAGGAGTCTGGATCGGCAGCGGTAGCGGGAGCATAGAGCGGAGCGGTGGGGTCAAGATCTTGGTCGGCGTGGTTTTTTGTCTCTTCGTAGAGGTTGAAGCTAAGCACGTATTGGCCCTCGTGGCGGACCGAGAGATCGGGAAAGATAAAGTAACCAGCTTCAGAGGGGCGATCGAGATAAGCCATGCCGGAGACGGGCATGCCGGTCAGCACGGGATTAGACGTAGTGGCGGCTGGCTGGCTACGGCAGGTGGCCGAGGTCGGAGGAGCAGGCTCGAGAGTGACGAATAGGAAGAAGTTGGCATCGTAGGCAAATGTGATATGTTCGGATTTGGGGCCATCCTCGTGGTAAATCTTCAGTTCGACGACGGGCGGAGGGTCAACGGGCCTACGATCAGACGAAGCTGCCGGGAGAGTCAGTCTAGGAGCGGCGGGCGACAGATGTACGGGCGAAGACGACGACAAGACATCACTCACATTTGGCGCCTGAGCCACAGGCTCTTGCACGCTCGGGTTGCTGGATTACGGTGAGGACGTAGGTGAGTTTCCGGCCTCCCCTGGTCACTCGACTCATGCGGTTGGCGGTGGAATGGCGATCCATAGGGACAGCGGACATGCGTTGACGCTGGTAGAAGCCACTCTTCTCGTAGGCTGCGTGGGACGGCATTGAGGGCCGTGGGCAGAAGCCAACTGCCAGACTGGAGCTAAGTCAGACGGAAAGTGATGGGCGAGAGGGCCAGAACAAAGCCGATAGGGAAGGACAAATGGCGGAAAGCTGAGCGAGGAGAGAGCTGATGAGAGATAATGAGGAAGGAGAGAAGAGGGGAGCGGGCGAGGGGTGAGGGGATGTTTTGAGAGCAGTCGTCGGCTCTAGCAGCAGGCTGGACTGGGATGGGATCCGGGATGAGGATAACGAGGGGGGGCCGGAGCTTCTCTAGTCGGAGAACCAAGAGTTGCGCGGTGGTGGGGCCTTTCTAGAACTTGAGGGGTGAAGGCGCGAGGACGAGGGGCGGGAGCAACAAGGAAAGCGATGGTGGGGCGTGGGGGCGTCGGTGTATATGTTTCTGGCAACTCCCGGCCGTAACGGGCAAGTGGTAGAGAACGAGTGGCAGACGACGACCTCGCCGCCGTGGGCCAAAGGCAACGATTGCGGCTCAACCCAACACACTAGCATCGCTGATGCCGACAAGCCACAGCCACAGCCACAGCCGGACAAGTGACGCAGCGACGGAGTCCGAGTGGTCGGGGCTTCAAAAGGCCGTCGCAGTTACCCACCGCCATCATGGCCACATGCCAGCGTCCAGCGCGCGTCAGCTCGGCGCACCAGTGGCGGTTAGTGGGAGACCAGGGCTAGTGAGGCCGGGGCAAGGCGTCGGGTACGCACTCATTCAGCCTGACGCTGGAGGGGCTCCATAGGGAAGGGTTAGTGCTGGGCGACGCGGTGCCGGACAAGTCGTAGAGCCATAGCGAGCATCTTGGTTCCGGTGGACGCGTTACGGGTGCCGTTTGAGTGTTTTTTCGAGGTACAGTTTCCATCTCTCGAGCTCAGCGCGCCACCGCCTGTACCCGCGGGCGTATGGGCCCAGGTGCGGAGGAATCCATTGCCAGGACGATACTGACGGTGTAGAAGGACTGGCCGACGCGTCATGGCCATGGGAGATGCGAGCTTTGGCCCGGCCCTGAAGGAATTGCGGTGTTGTACTACGCCCGCCGTCACCATGCTCGCATGCATTCTCCTCCTCGCGTCCCCGCGTCCCAGCGTCCTCACGCTCGGAGACGGAGCCGATGGCCTGGCCTACAACTACGGTGTATATCAGCGAGAGACCGTCGCTGCACGCCCTGTCTGCCCCGCTACTGCTCGTGACTTGTCGTGTCTGGGCCCGCTGAGTCCGGCGACCATGCACGCCGGACTCTTTCCATTCCCCGAACCCTGCTCATGGGTAACGTCGGCCCACCAAAGGGTCTCCGGTGCTGGTAGACGCGCCTCAAGCAGACTAGGACTAGTGCATCGCTGCCGCGGCGCACACGCCATGCCCTCTGCCAGCGGAGCCCGGCTCACTGGATTCGAGGACCTGCCGCTCCATCCTGTCGGCGCTGAAGAAACTTTGGCGGCCTTCGGCCGTGGATATGGGACAGAAATTATAGGGGCTTTTCTCCAGCATAAACCATCCCCAGGACTCCTCGTTGCAACTGGCCCAAATCGCCGACTTCTGCCATACTGACTCATCCACTTCGGCACGGCTAGTGGCAGATGGGGCCGAAGGCGGATGCAAATTGGCTCCGGCTATCTCGGCCCACGCCAGCGTCCAAGCTCTTTCTCTCAATCTTCCCTTCCCTTCCCTCTTCTCTCCATCATCCACCGCTTTCTTCACCCACTCGCATCATCCGCCGCGCTCTTGGCCTCCAACGCCCACTCTCTCGCGCTTTGCCCTCGCAACCACGGATACGCCCGTCCTAAAATAGCCCACGGCTCGTTCGCTGCATGGAAAACGGTTTAAAGCTCCGGCACTCTTCCATCCTAGATCCAGGCGCCGCCCACTCTTTCCTGGATGACCCAGCTTGTTTGCCGAGCAACTTGGCCTTACCGAGTTGTCGCCACCCCCGTCATCCATGCCCCTGAATCAGGCGACAAACCGGTACATCATCCCATCCCTCCGCATCTCGTGCGCTTGTACACACCGCACCTTGATCGGATAGGTCTCTCGAAACACCCGTAACATCAAGCATACTCAGAGTCCTCATTTACATCGCCCACTTGAGGCCGGGGAGAGCTAAACTGCTGAGCCCAGTGCCCTATCTTAACAGTCTTGGTCGAGCTTTGCCGCCTTCGGCTTGAGGTGCTCCCACTGTCTCATAGCCACAACAGGTCGTACAGCCGTGCGTCGCCGTACCATGATCCAAGGTCAGCGCCCGACTGCCACCGCCACCGCCACTACCCCTCCAGCTCTAAGCCGTCTAATTCCCGACCCCCGCCAAAAAACGCCCTGATTCTGGTGATTTTGCCCCCCCCACCCCACTGGCTCGAAACTCCGCTGACCTACACATGAATTGCTGTCGCAGTATTTCCCTACAATGCTGCTCTCACCACTGAGCGACTCCCAGTGCATGTATGCGAGTATTGTCGGCACTTGAATGAAGTCACCGGCCGCAACAAATATCTCGCTACCTACACCCATCCTCCAAACCACAAAGCTCCACTGAGAATGCCCACAACTTCGAAGGGTCGACCGGATCCTCAGGTCCAAACCTATCCACCCATAATCAGTATCAAGATAATTCAGTTACAGTTGGCTTGGCTTCCTGTGCCATATAAGACGGGTGGAATAGCCAGAAATAAGTCAAGGTCCGGAGCCTCTCGAGCTGGGAAAGATCAGTAGTACAAGAAGCTAATGCCAATGGTGGCCTGACTGGCCTCATTAGGAATATTTCGGCCCTGCCCAACGAATGAGTCTTGCAAGACGACGTTTTGCGCGAATTAGTCTAGAGTGGTCAGTCATGCGGTCAACCAAGAGGTAATATCAGTCCCATGTACTCATAAAAATCAAGCCAAGAATCACAATTGACACCATAGGCAAAGAAAAGTAGCCTAGCTAATGTCTGGCAACAAGTCTCTCCATTCAAGGTACATGTCATGATGAGGGAGTCTAGGCTTGCAATTTCTGACCGTGAATTTAGATTGGAAAACAAGAGTCAACAGTCACTAGCCCCCTGATTCTCAGCTCACATTTCTTGGAACCAGGAATCCTACTAATGTACATTTTGGCTCAATGAATCTACGTTTCATCTTTCAAACCCATAAGCATCGGGCCGGCAAATTGCTGACGGCTTATATCAGCTTGATCTGTTTCAGGGCTACTGGCTCCTCCACCATAATATGTGAGTTTTTAAAACCATGCGCGAATGAATAATATTCAGCATCATCTATTACACACGTCCTTAGATCATTCCAGTGGAGAGGCTGTCATTAATCGAGTTCAAATTCTCTATTTCACGCTCGGAAGTAGGTCCTCCGACATTCAGCCGTCTACCATGAACTAGATGCTTTTAGGTCTGTTTCATCAGTCGCTTGGAAGAAAATAAGGGATTAACAGATGACGTTGATGTTCATTGTAAAGTTGGCAATCGTACTTTTTTTTGGAGCCAAGTTCTTTCTCAAAGTGACCTTACCCATTGTCGACGCGTGTGCCTAGATAGAAACGCTTCAACCTTTGTTTCTGGACGCATTCCTTCGAATCCTAAAGCTTCAATTACTCACCTAAACAGTCACATCTCGACGAGGGAGTCTAACAAGGTAGACCCTGCATCTCTATGTCATAAAATTCCTGGACTCGAGCACGGATGTGATCAGCAGACATACTCATAATAGATTTCTCCCATGCACATTTGCCTTTGGCGTTTATGACCCTCCTCATTGGAGAAGATTCAAGATTCATTCAACATTATCATACAGGAATTTTCGGGTTTAGTATTTTGAATGAATATTTAATTGTTAGTTTTTACGTCAGCTGGATACAAGACCTAGTCTTGTAAGTGAATTGGTTTGATTAGAAGGAAGTCTTCTAGACATTCACGGCTAGTTTATTAACCTGTAAAGGTCCAGCCATCGGATAGGCTCCAGCTAAGACAATTTTAGCTAAGATGCTATTTATACTTGGCTCTTCACTTTTCCAAGTGTCTAATGTTAGGCATTGCTACGCTGAAGATAAATTAGACTCAACACTAGTCTGAGAGGCACTAGAAGAACCTTCAGTGCTTACTCAAGGTCCTACAAAACCAGGATGTACTTAAATGTATTATCTCTAGCAAAAAAATCTACCTCTGAATTCTGACTACTCGATCTAGAAACTTCCCATACCAGACGTAATCATGACATGAAACACTCTTCAAGATACGCATTAGTGTGCAATCAAATCAAATAATGGTGGTTAGATACTCTTTCCATTAAAATAGTCCACTCTACTATAGATAACAATAGGTAATTGATATCAGAGTAAACACCCCTTCTATATCTCTCGCAAATCATACTTCTCCTGTTTGCAGCTGTACTTAGTGCTGGGGTAGGAGTTTTGCGAAGAAGCCCAAGCTGCTGACTTCTATTCAATATCATAAAGTGAAGCGATTTGAGAAATTGAAGGGTCTGAAGACTGTAATGAAGAGTTATTGACTAAAGCCACTTAGCATCAAAGTGCTATATAATCTAACTATTACAACTAAACGAAGTTTGTCTCCGGCATAGTTTGTGTAGACTGAGCACCTACTCCACTAGGAAAGGACACCCCTCAGACCACATTTGGCATGGAGACAAGTCAATGAATGATGGAGGCATGTCTAGATTACTCGTGGGTTTTCATACGCTTCCCTGATTGGGTATTCACGGATGAGGGTTGACTTGTGGTGACGGAAAAGCCACGATAAGTTTCTAGTGTTACTTACGAATGAAATCCGAGGTATGGGTGCTCTAATTTTAAATCGAATAAATTGTTCTTTACTTTTTCTCTGAAATTGTGTCATAGCTACATTGCTGTATACGCAGTTGAACTCTGATATAAAGAAAAGAAAAACCAGGCGACGGACACTACTTCTCGTTTATTATGTATAATAGGATGCTAGCCAATGTTTGAGTATTCATTAACCTGACTATTAAAGCAATTAGCCTTTCTTAATCCC